ATGAGAAATAGCAGTGGGGGTAGCATTAGCAATAGCAGTGGTCTTAGCACGAATAATAGCAGTGGTGGTAGCACAAGCAATAACAGTGGTGGTAGCACGAGTAATAGCAGTGGTGGTAGCACAGTGGTGGTAGCACGAGTAATAGCAGTGGTGGTAGCACGAGTAATAGCTGTGGTGGTAGCACGAGTAATAGCAGTGGTGGTAGCACGAGTAATAGTAGTGGTGGTAGCACGAGTAATAGCAGTGGTGGTAGCACGAGCTATAACAGTGGTGGTAGCACGAGTAATAGCAGTGGTGGTAGCACGAGTAATAGGTGGTGGTAGCACGAGTAATAGCATGGTAGCACGAGTAATAGCAGTGGTAGCACAGTAATAGCAGTGGTGGTAGCACGAGTAGCATAGCAGCAGTGGTGGTAGCACGAGTAATAGCAGTGGTGGTAACACGAGTAATAGCAGTGGTGGTAGCACAAGCATTGGCAGTGGTGGTAGCACGAGAAATAGCAGTGGGGGTAGCATTAGCAATAGCATTGGTCTTAGCACGAATAATAGCAGTGGTGGTAGCACAAGCAATAACAGTGGTGGTAGCTCGAGTAATAGCAGTGGTGGTAGCACGAGCTATAGCAGTGGTGGTAGCACGAGTAATAGCAGTGGTGGTAGCACGAGTAATAGCTGTGGTGGTAGCACGAGTAATAGTGGTGGTAGCAGTGGTGGTAGCACGAGTAATAGCAGTGGGTAGCACGAGCTATAGCAGTGGTGGTAGCACGAGTAATAGCAGTGGTGGTAGCACGAGTAATAGCTGTGGTGGTAGCACGAGTAATAGCAGTGCTGGTAGCACGAGTAATAGCAGTGGTGGTAGCACGAGTAGTGGTGGTAGCACGAGTAATAGCAGTGGTGGTAGCACGAGTAATAGCAGTGGTGGTAGCACGAGTAATAGCAGTGGTGGTAGCACGAGTAATAGCAGTGGTGGTAGCACGAGCAATAACAGTGGTGGTAGCACGAGTAATAGCAGTGGTGGTAGCACGAGTAATAGCAGTGGTGGTAGCACGAGTAATAGTGGTGGTGGCAGAAGCAATAGCAGTGGTGGTAATAGCAGTGGTGGTAGCACGAGTAATAGCAGTGGTGGTAGCATGAGTAATAGCAGTGGTGGTAGCACGAGTAATAGCAGTGGTGGTAGCATGAGTAATAGCAGTGGTGGTAGCACGAGTAATAGCAGTGGTGGTAGCACGAGTAATGGCAGTGGTGGTAGCACGAGTAGCACGAGTAATAGCAGTGGTGGTATCACGAGTAATAGCAGTGGTGGTAGCACGAGTGATAGCAGTGGAGGCAGCACGAGTAATAGCAGTGGAGGTAGCACGAGTAATAGCAGTGGTGGTAACACGAGTAATAACAGTGGAGGTAGCACGAGTAATAGCAGTGCTGGTAACACGAGTAATAGCAGTGTAGGTAGCACGAGTGATAGCAGTGGTGGTAACACGAGTAATAGCAGTGGAGGTAGCACGAGTGATAGCAGTGGAGGTAGCACGAGTAATAGCAGTGGAGGTAGCACGAGTGATAGCAGTGGTGGTAACACGAGTAATAGCAGTGGAGGTAGCACGAGTGATAGCAGTGGTGGTAACACGAGTGATAGCAGTGGAGGTAGCACGAGTAATAGCAGTGGAGGTAGCACGAGTGATAGTGGTGGTAACACGAGTAATAGCAGTGGAGGTAGCACGAGTGATAGCAGTGGAGGTAGCACGAGTGATAGCAGTGGTGGTAACACGAGTAATAACAGTGGAGGTAGCACGAGTGATAGCAGTGGAGGTAGCACGAGTAATAGCAGTGGTGGTAGCACGAGTGATAGCAGTGGTGGTAACACGAGTAATAGTAGTGGAGGTAGCACGAGTAATAGCAGTGGAGGTAGCACGAGTAATAGCAGTGGTGGTAACACGAGTAATAGTGGTGGTAGCACGATTAATAGCAGTGGAGGTAGCACGAGTAATAGCAGTGGTGGTAGCACGAGTAATAGCAGTGGAGGTAGCACGAGTGATAGCAGTGGTGGTAACACGAGTAATAGCAGTGGAGGTAGCACGAGTAAGTGGTGGTAACACGAGTAATAGCAGTGGAGGTAGCACGAGTGATAGCAGTGGTGGTAACACGAGTAATAGCAGTGGAGGTAGCACGAGTGATAGCAGTGGAGGTAGCACGAGTAATAGCAGTGGAGGTAGCACGAGTGATAGCAGTGGTGGTAACACGAGTAATAGCAGTGGAGGTAGCACGAGTGATAGCAGTGGTGGTAACACTAGTAATAACAGTGGAGGTAGCACGAGTGATAGCAGTGGTGGTAACACGAGTAATAACAGTGGAGGTAGCACGAGTGATAGCAGTGTAGGTAGCACGAGTAATAGCAGTGGTGGTAGCACGAGTGATAGCAGTGGTGGTAACACGTAGCACGAGTGATAGCAGTGAGAGTGGAGGTAGCAGAGTGATAGCAGTGGTGGTAACACGAGTAATAACAGTGGAGGTAGCACGAGTGATAGCAGTGGAGGTAGCACGAGTAATAGCAGTGGTGGTAGCACGAGTGATAGCAGTGGAGGTAGCACGAGTAATAGCGCACCACGAGTAATAACAGTGTAGCACGAGTGATAGCAGTGGAGGTAGCACGAGTAATAGCAGTGGAGGTAGCACGAGTAATAGCAGTGGAGGTAGCACGAGTAATAGCAGTGGTGGTAGCACGAGTAATATAGAGTAGCAGTGGTAGCACGAGTAATAGCAGTGGTGGTAGCACGAGTAATAGCAGTGGAGGTAGCACGAGTGATAGCAGTGGTGGTAGCACGAGTAATAGCAGTGGAGGTAGCACGAGTGATAGCAGTGGAGGTAGCACGAGTGATAGCAGTGGTGGTGCTGTAGTGACTCAGCAGAGCAGACGAAAGTATATTAAAGTTTTTGTTCAATGTCTTAATATTTAGAGTAGCTGGCAGGATGGAGGTTCACAGAACAGCATAAAAATCATACAATATTTATTAATAGAAAACTAAACAAAACCGTGACTAAAACTCAGACAAAAGACAAAAAAACAAAACAAAACTTCGTGGAGTTAAAAGATCTAAACATCAAATAAAACAAGTAAAAAAAAACTAAAGCAAGTGAAAGAAAAGGCAATTGAAATACATTGAACCAACATATAAATAAAACAAGTAAAAAGACTAAAAAGTGAAATCAAACAAGTAAAAGTGACAGTGAAATCAAACTTAAGCAAAGCAAAACTGAATATAAATACTAAAACACAAGCAGAACTTTTAAATAAAATAGAACTTAAATGAAATAAAAGCACATAAAAACTGAAAAAAACTACGACAAATGAACTAAAAGATCATAAAAAATAACTACGACGGTCCAGCAAAACAAAAGCTCAAAATAACTAAAAATAAAACAAAGCACTTCCAATTTAACTAATTAAAATCTTCCGTCCTTTGGCCGAAACAACACTCTACTTAACTTTTTAATGGAGACTCGGTGAGCTTTGCAAGAAAAAAACACGGGTTCCAGAGATCGGACGCAAGAATTCTGACACTTGCTTTTGGCTGCCCTTCCCGATATAAACAAAGACAGGCGATTGCCGAGTGTCTGGTTCGTTATTACTAAAAACAATAATCTTTCAATGCGTTAATATGTTTTGGTTCGCTGGACCTTACAATTTTTAAGTGAAAATTAATGAAATAAAAGTAAAAAAAAACTCATGCACAATTATAAAAGCGATAAAAACAAACGAAAACAATAGAAAACGGGGTGTATAAAATGCAACATAAAACCAGATAGATATACAATAAAAATAAAAAGAACTAGGTTAGTCTTGATGACAAGTGCTATACATTAAAAATAAAATAATAAAAGAAAAGATCGTTAAAAACAATATACGAGAACACGTGGTCGCCCTGATTTGTTGCTCCTTGCGGGGGCAAGCCCGAAACCTAGGGGGCGCTACCAATTTTTGGGGTAACTCGCATAAAACAGGTTACTACAACCACCCCCACGGACCGGAGTCCGAAGCTGCCACTTAAAGCAAGTTACAAGGGAAATCTCCGCGCAACTAGTTCCCTCCATGTTAATGGAAGCCCACCCTTAAAAGAAATTACAGATGTTTTGGCGCGATCAACATGGTACATACGAGAAACACTTGGCAGCGGAGGACTAAGTCAACACAGGTCCATAACACATAACACGCAAGACAGGACACCACAGGACAGGACAGAGCAGACAGACAAGACAACCTGAAAAGTAGAGTGCAGTTTAGGGACACAGAAACAGATTATAATTAATTAAAGTGGGCATGCAATGTTCATAGTCATTAAGAGTTATTCGGCTGGATCGACAACCTGAAACGAGTATGGGGAAAAAAAGTAAATGCTACATCACAAAGCATTCACCTCAACTGCTCTCCTCCTGCGAAGAAATAGAATGGAGAAACAAATCAATTTAAGGTATCCAACCTGCAGGATAGTGAATAAGGCAAACCAAGGAAAACTTGAGCAAAAAAAAAACAAAACAAAACAAAAACAATCTAAAACATAATAGGCATGAACATAATTACAATACAGAACTTTTACATTAGCCAAAACACATTACATAAAACATGAACTCAGATCATGCAGAAATAAAACAGTACAATTGAGAACATAAAAACATGAACCAAAAGAGTACATAGAAACATAAAACAAAATGGTAGATAAAGACAAAATAATACATAAAAACATAAAAAGAACATAAAATAATACATAAAAGAACATGGACTAAAACAACTAAAACAGTACATATTAGAACATAACAAAAGAACATGAATAAAACGTACATAAAAGAACATAAAAGAACATGAACTAAAACAGTACATAAAAGAGAACATGAAAGAACATAAAGAACATGAACTAAAACAGTACATAAAATTTAGAACATGAACTGAATCAGGAAATGATGAACATAACCACTGACATGAAGAGACAAGTGAGTTTTGATCACAAAAATAATTATAATCCCATAACAGGTACTCGGCTCAGCACAGCAGGAAGCACTACCTGAAAGTGGGAAATATGGTACATTTTAGTTTGCTCTTACCAAATTGCACTAACACTTTTGGCCTGGGTGTTCTCTTTCTGGGTCCACACTGTTGTTTTCACTCGTTCCAACTGTGAATGTATTACACTGCACTCCATGTTCAGCTGAGCATGCTGCAAGCAAAGCAACATCAAGTGGATCATCAACTTCAGCGTCCGCTAGTTGATGGGGCAGATGGAGCTCTTCCATCGGATAATAGGGCTTCAAATAGTTCACATGAACCCTACGCTCGTGAGCTTCACCGTAAATATTTTTTAACCAGAAACACAACAGGTCCCAGTTTCTTGAGCACTCTAGCCGGACCTTCCCAACGGGGTGACAAGGTATTGGTACGCCTATGAATTTTTGTTAGAACCAATGAGCCTTCTTTAAGGAACAAATGTCTTCTTACTTTACGGTCATAATCCCTAGTCCATCCAGCCCTAGCTTTTTGGCATGCTTCCTGAGCTGCACTCCAAGCCAGCTGTAGCCTATGCCGTAGGACATCTGGGCCAGCTTCGTCATAAACAGGTTTCATCGTTAAACCAACGGGCATGTCAACTGGGTGGCCTTGAAATAAATGCAAAGGCTGGTCCATGACTGACCTATGAATGGAGGTGTTTAGAGCGAACCTCACCTGCCGCAGAACTTCATCCCAATAATATGCTGCATGACCACAGAGGGCAGATAATGCTTCTTTAACCACCCGGTTAGTTCTCTCTACTATGCCATTAGCTTGAGGGTGATATGGGAGAGTTAGTTTGAATTTCACCTGTAATTCAGTGCAAACAGCGGCCAGAAGGTTGTTGAATTCTGCCCCGCCGTCAGTCTGCAACTCCATCGGTGGTCCATATACTGTAATAAAGTTATCAATAATTGCTACAGCAATGGTTTCAGCCCTCTTATCTGGAAGCGGTATCAACTCTACGTAACGGGATAAATGATCAACCAAACTAGAGCATAAAGATTGCCTCTCTCTGTTTGGGGTAGTTTAATTAAGTCAGCTGACACTCTTTCAAGGGGGCGGCTAACTTCAGGGGCTGAAGCTAATGGGGCTTTGTAGAATGACCCTTTTTTCTCTGACAATCTGGACATGATTTTACAAACTGCTTAGTATAAGACAGCATGTTCGGGAAGAAAAACATAGATTTTGCCTTGTTATATGTCCTAAAAATTCCGGGATGGGCTGCAAGAGGGGAAGCGTGGGCTAGTCTCAAAGCAGAATCCCTCAACTGCCGAGGCACAACAACCTGTCGAAGAATGCGGTCATTATTGTTCTGCAGATGATATAAGACACCATTGGCGACTTCAAACTCGGCTACAGAGGTTGGTAATTTTGTGACTGGCAGGGTTCCACCCTCGAGATATTCAATAGTCTGAGCCCAGGTAAGATCTTTCATCTGTTCACTTCGTAAGACAGCTGGATCATTGTCTTCCAAAATTTCGGTAGCATTCACAGCAACTGTAGAGGCTCGTGATATCATATCTGGGACATAATGTGATCCCTGCTTATAGACAATCTCAAAGTTTAGTGCTGGAGATCATTACACCAACGAGACATTCTGGGACTTTTAGTTTTTCGTAAAAACGTAGACTAAGGGTCGGTGGTCTGTGTAGACAGTGAATTTCCTACCATAAACATAAGGGTCAAATGCTCTAACTGCCTCAACAACTGCCAGGGCCTCGCTATCTGTTGCACTATATCGCGTTTCTGGGCTATTCTTTTTCCTGGAAAAATATGCTATGGCATGTGATATACCGCTAGAATCTCGTTGCAAGAGACAAGCACCAATGGCAATCTTTGAAGCATCACAGTGCACTTCAAAGGGTTGCTCAATCTGGGTTTCTTAAAGCAGGTGCGGATATCAAAGCCGATTTAAGACTCTCAAATGCTGGCACTCACCCGTCCATGTAAAACTTTGCATTTTCCTAGTCAGAGCTGTTAACGGAGCTGCCATTTTAGCAAATTGGCGATGTGTCGTCGGAAAAAGCCTGCAGCCCCCAAGAAACCTCCTAATGCCACGTACATCTTTAGGATATGTCATCTCTGTTATGGCTTGTACTTTATCTGGATCAGGAAGGATTCCCTCGGCCGACACCTCAAATCCCAGAAATTTGAATTTCCTCCATCTCACATTTGGTTGGGTTTAAACGTAGCCCTGCTCGATGTAATAGGGACCAGCGTTTCCTCTAGGTGGTTCAAATGTTCCTCCATACTTCTTCTGCTAAAGATGACTACATCATCAAGGTATGCAGCTGTATGGCGACCTAAACAGATGACAGTATAAGATTAATGATCCTTTGAAATGTTTGAGGAGCTGTTTTCAAACCATATGGCATCCTTTTGAATTGCCAGACACGAGCTCCATCACTGAAGGCTGTTTTTGGCCTGTCTGCAGGGTCAACTGGAACAGCCCAATAGGCAGAGCGGGCATCCAAGGACGAAAAAATACAGCTTTGGTGGAGGTCATCAATCACTTGCTGAATTTGTGGTAATGGGTATGAGTCAGAAGTTGTAAGGGCATAATAGTGCGAAAGTTTACACAGAATCGTACAGTGCCATTCTTCTTCCTCACAAGTACAACGGGGGGATAGCCAAGGGCTAGTCGAAGGCTCAATGACACCGGCTTTAGCCATGGCATCGCACTGTTCTCGAATTGTAATGCGTGCTGTATGCGGTAACCTCCACTGTCTGGTAACAGTTGGTTTGGCATCTCCTGTTGGTATTGAGTGTGTAACATCCATGGTGTCTGTACTAAACAAACCAGGGAACTTTTGAAAGAGGTTCTGGATGTTCGTCTTCTCACTCTCATCCAGATGATCCAATGATGGAATTTCCTCATGACTATCTTTAGCAGGAGCTATCAGGTTAGTGAGTGTGGCTGGACGTAACGGCATCAACCTGTACTTCCTCCATTTCTGTAGCTACTGTAGGCATGGGCTTCGAACTCTTGCAAACTGGGCTGGAAAAAAAGTTTATGTGATTTATATAAACTGCGTACTTTACTTGAGTCTTATGGGCCGCTTTCTGGGCAAGTCTGTTTACTGGGTAATTTGTTTTATTGACATTATAGACTGGGCAGTCAAGTCACTGGTTAATTTGGTAGAGATTACCGGGGTGGATACTTTCTATGAACTAGAGTATAATTTGCCCGTCTTAAGATATCTATACCAATAAGCATATCTCCAGGAAACTTTATACCATCAACAATGCATACCCTGTGAGAAAACGACTTTTCGGCGGATACGTATACCTGGACATCCGCCTCACCCTCTACGTCCAATTTAGTTCCTGATACACCTAAAAGCTCCCTATTAGGTTTATGTTGGTGTTTCATCGAGACTTAGTTCTTAGTGCAAGCTTTAAGCAATGTTGCCTCACGCGTATCCTGTGTCAATTAGACACCTAAGTTTCACGCCATTCACCCGCAACTGAATCATGGGCTTACCTGTTTGCCTAGTTACCTGTACAATTTCCTGATGAGCCCGTTCTCTGGGCATTGTCAGGTTCAGTTTGGGCTCCTTGCCTGGCCTGACTTCCTCGAAAGGGACATTGCTGGCGGTTGTGTCCCGATTGACCACATTTCCAGCATACATAGCCTTTAGGCTTTTCTTGGCAATCACGAGTGCTATGGCCTTGTTGACGGTGGAATGCACAGTATGGTTGATCGCCAACTGCTGCAGTCATTACCTGTTCAGGGTTTGGGGACCTTGGGAGAACTGTACTGGCTGCTTAGATCCGTACCTTGTACGAGCTCTTTGGCGTATGCCGCAAATTCGAATGCAATAGATGCGAGCTCATCTGTGGTTCTGTGCTCTTGGCCTGCAATGCTTTCTGAAAACCAAAATGGAAGGGTCTCAATAAATGTTCTTTTAACTAGCTCCTCTGGCCGATCTGCCATTACCAAGCAGTCCTTCCAACCAGAGAGAACTGCACTCTCTATTTCATGTAACAAATCTTGTGGACTTTGATGTTCTCTAAGTCTCTTAATGGATAGCTGCCTTAAAAACTCTGAAGTGGTTATTGTGCCGCAAAATTTCTGTCGTAAGTGCTGGGCAAATGATACCCATTCAGAAATGCCGTCAAACAGTGGGGAGTTGATTACCCTTTCTGCATCTCCCTTACAATGGATCCTTGCTGCTCGGATTCTAGCGTTGCTACCGTAACCTGCAGTTCTATCTGCCGGATCCAGTGAAACAATTTCATTGTTTCTTTGTAATGCATTAGAGGCTGGTGTTTTGGCTTCAAACACTGGAATGCGTGCTCGAGCTTCGGACACCATCAGTGGTGTTTGTGGCTCAGGATCAAGTATGCGGGGTAGCAGATTAATTCGACTCTGCCTTGGCTGAACAACTGTGTGTGTGCTATGGGCACTCCCTTGACCTGTTTCGTGGTCAGAGTCATTGTCGGTTGTAGACTGACAAGTGCCTGAAATGCTCGGGGCTGGATCTCGTTCTATGTGCCGATTAACAACCTCACGGAGCGTTGCACATTCTGAGGCGAGCTGGTTATTCCGAAAACCTAGTTCTTGGACCTCTGCACGCAACTCACCCATTTGGTTTATTAATTGCTCCAGCATAGCTTGCAGTTGTCCTTCTGGCTGCGGAGTGGCCATTTGGGCTTCGTCCTGAGAATCGGTTTGCTCCTCTCCTTGGTTACTACGGGTTGATACTCCATTTTTCTTATCAACCATTGCAAACACACGTATCTACCAGTTCCGAGCACTTTTACATCACACTATAACCACTTCAGAAAAGATGCACTGGTCAAAATTCAATTACCAAACATTAATCATACCAAAATCATCACGGGTCGTCAGCATACTTAATTATAATTTATTGTAACAGGTTACGAAATATTTAACACCATGAAAATATAAAATCACGTAAATACAATCAGTACTAAAATGACCATGTAAACGGGAAAATACCACTAA